CGCGCTTTAGACAACGGATGACGTCATATACTGCCACATTGGTGCCACTGATTTTATTCAGACAGAATGGTTATGGCGAGACATTCAGCGCGAGATTTTTTCATAACGTAGGAGAGGACATCAACCATCATAAACTGGAATTACGGCATGGCGTAGATACTACTTCATGCCGTACATGATCCAACTTTGCAACAGCTCTCATTGTAAAGTGTAAGCTTGACTGCAGTAACGTTGAAATACCTACTCCGCTTCCATTCACTCTTCGTATTTTCATTATGGGCTGCCACGGTACTTACTATATACGGTTTCTTAAATATAAAATTTACAGTTGCATCAATTTTCAAGTAACTTTTGAGTTAACTAGCTAACTTGTACAATCATCGATAATGATATGAACGTGATGCACAATCGTGGTGAAATTACTTCAATCGTAAAAATCTGGACCCGTTCGCTCTCTTTTACGTTAATTTTGGATGTTTTTGATTTTCAAATATACAGATGTTAGATGATAAAGCTTGTCCAAATCTGTATTTCTGCAACTAACAAAATGTAAAACAATTTTGTTACTAAAATTAACAATGAACCAAAAGCCTTCCTGAATTAATCTCATTACGTGTGCTTACCACTCCGCTAAAAATGCGATTTGTGAAGAGTTTAGAAAACTTGGCAGAAAACTTGGCTAGAGTTTGGCAGAAAACTTGGTAATCTGTAGTTTCCTTGCAGGTAGAGATCCAGGCATCCAAAATGTCTCCACACCTAAAAAATCTACACCATCATGGCAACGTAAGAAATTATTCTTCCTTGGTAATATTAATTTATTTTAAATGGCTTGTCTCAGGGGCCGAATTTTTTCCGGTCCTTTCCACCGTACTTAAACATACTTAGGACGGGTCTCGACTCTCGACTGCACTTAAATCCGGCTTAGCGCTTCTGATTGGCCAGTGGTGCGGTTTGAACTCATCTATAGCTGTTGTACTCCGTGTGAAAAAGCCGACAAAATTCGGCCCCAGGATTTTAAATACTTTGAAGCAATGTCTCTGTTGCACGCAAGAGGTTCAGCCGTGCGAATAGTCTTTTCACTGGTAAAATTGCACTAAAATCACAAAAGTAAAATTAAAAAGTCTAAAATTTACTCGTTAAAATGCAAGTTGCGTAGTCTAGGGCCGGATTCAGGGGTTGGCCACATGGGCCGCGGCCCATGGCGGCAAATTTTGCAATTTTTTTAAATGTAGGTGTATAAAAAAACTGGACTCACAAACGAGAAAAGGCGACAAAATCTCTCATTTCCTGAGAGTGAAGTAATTTCTAATTTTGTCATCGTCTTTCGGTGATACAAGAGACCAGAAATGTAGGAGCAGTATAAAAAAAATTGAACTCAGAAAAAAAAAATCACAAACGAGAAAAGGCGACAAAATGTCTTATTTCCTGAGAGTGAAGTAATTTCTAATTTTGTCGTCTTTCGGTGATATGAGAAACCTAACTTTTAATTAGGCGATTTAAGAGAGAAACCAAACACGCAATTCGGCCTGGAGCGGCGCGGCGCGGCGCGGCGCAGAGAGCAATGATGACGAGGACTTGAGATGAAAAGGAGAAACCCTCAGCGCGGCGCAGCGGTCGGCATCAGAGTTCTTTATCCTCAAAATCTCGTATTTAATCAACTCATCGATCAGTATTCCAATGAAGCGGCAATTAGTTCGGGTTACAAATACTCATCCAGAACTCGGACGGCAGGTAGCGCGTTTTCGCTCAAGATCCGAGAACTTGTCCCGCGGCGGTTGGATTTCCCCTCCGAAACTCATTAGCAAAGNTTTTTTTTTTTTTTTTTTTTTTTTTTTTTGGGTCGTCATTTTTTAGAGGGAGTTTATTAGGATTGGGCCGGGGTGGCTACCGCCACCTAGAATAAATGGAGGGCCTTGTCTACACAAAGATAGGTTTACGGAACTTAACTTTCGCGCAAAGTTCCGTGAAATTTTGCTGGTAGTGTTGACATAGAGCTTTCGCAAAACATGTGTCCAACACGAATGAACGCGTCTTATGCACCCCTACCCCTCCGGCACTTGATGGTTTTTATTGATGTTTCAAAATGAATGAGAAGGGGGCGGCAAAATACAGGCGGCCCATGGGCGGCAAGTAGGTGAATCCGGCCCTGAATGGACTACTGGCGTAGATCGGCCGGAGTGTCGAGGAAAGATCACGTTCAGAGTGAAAGGAGACGTGAAATTATGGGCGTCGAAAACAACATAGTGCATGAAATTTTCATGAAACATTTCCTCTGTTATGGGCATGTGCATAATGTGGAACGGATGCCAGATGATAGATTGCCTAAGAAGGTTGTGGATTTGCTCCCCCCTCCCCCATCCCCCTAGCAAAAAACGTAGACGACGCCCTGCCAAATCGTGGATTGAGGGAATGAGGCAGGAAATGGGGAGATGCGATCTGCTGGAGGAGCTCTGGCAGGATCGCTATTAGTGGCGGTTGGGTGTCACAGAGCGCACAGAAGCGCCATGAGAGTGACTTGGTTGTAGTACACCTGAGCAATTTTGGACAAAAAATTGTCTAACCTTTTGCATGATATCAAAGGAAAAATCACTGTATTTTAAGTTAAAAATTCCTAAGATTTTCCTGGTGAAAATGCAACTAGCGGTGGATATTCGGCAACATTGAAATGTGGTTACGTTCATACCTGAAGGAAACGACAACTTAAGGCGTGCAAGTCGGCAACCTACGATAGCATGATAATCTATCGAAGGAAATTGGAGGAAATGGGTGCCAAAGTAATCTCTTTTGAATAATCATTGCGCCAACATCTGTTACTGAGGAAGAGTATTGCTATGTCTGTCCATAAAGTACCAGAAATGATTTAAACTTATAGACACTGGCAACATTCTCAAAGCATTGTAAAATCTCTATTACTCGGATGCACCTCCTTTGCTCAGTCAAGATAGTTTGATCCTAATTAATTTACTCAGATAATACTTTATATACAACCAGAGAAAACAGTTGACACCTCTACGTTTACGTCCATAAGAAACAATCGCAATATAAACTGCTTATAATGGAAGTCTCTTTAGATGTTTACGCTGCTCACTAGAAGAGTTGGAGTACCGCTCAACAACCAAAGTCATACTAGAGAAAAATAAAATAAGGAAAACAATATAACAATTGCTTTTGCAATGAAGGTAGATGACCCTCATAAAGAAGTAACAGTGTGCCTCTAGTCTGATACAGTGGTGCTGGTGCTGGTGTAGTCCACTGTTTAAAGGTGATCAATTCGCCTTCATTTAGTGAGCATGCAACACTTACTACAAGTTTCTAGGTAGTACCAATTTGGACCCTCATTTGCTGAAATAATTGCATATGCATCGTTGATACGTGCCCATAAGATACATTCGTTGTTTTAAAAATCTCGATGAATGCTTCATGCATGTATAAATCCATTTTTTTGTCCTCAAAAGACGAGACGAATTATCCCGATCGTTATTTGCTGCATTTTAATATATGTATGTATGTTAGGCCATACATTTCTTGTAGAGCCAAAAATTCAGTAACTACAAATACTTCAGCCGTCTTGGGTGTTCTTGGAGTTTAGTATGTTTTTGCCATGCTCACAAATTATTATCGGAGACAATTGTGCTTGATTCAGCGATCTCAATAACCGGAATCGGAGGTAGGTTCCACTTGGTTTTGATGAAGCTTGTCCTTTAATCCAACCCCTTTGATCTTTAATTCAATCTCCCTACTAATTTTGCTGTTCAAGTTTGAGCGAGTTGGTATGCTTATTTTAAAAGCTATCAGTTGCTATCTCCATCATTCCAAGTTTCTGTAGCACGAGTATGGATACGATGCTTGTTTGCTAACTCCTAAATGATGCATGCTCAAAGATGCTTAGAAAATTGCCCGCGTAGAAACGGAAGGCGCAACATGAGCAGTGCAGTACTTGAAACTACTCGTGTTTCCGTTTTGGTGTGTCTGTTGGATTGGAGGGATTGACTCATAGGCAGTTGGCTTCGGTCATTAAAGCTGAGTTAAGTTTCACAGAACAGGACAAAGTAGTCCGCTCGTAAAAGCTGCCCTTTCTACCTGCCACAAAGAAAAATTTTCATTTGAAAATTATTTTTGTTAAATTGCAGGAGCTCTGTTTTGACTGATTTCTGACCAAAAAACCCTTATTTGATACAAAAATCATTACCTACTTTTGAATTTTTACTAACTAAAGTCCTCTCGCTACATTGAAAAAGAAAAAAAAAACCCAAATTGATTCAGAGAAAGGAATCAACTGCAAAGGGATGTTTACTATATGGAGTTTTCCTGAGCAACTAACGAGCATACCCCTTGTTTGCTATAACATTTGGCCTCTTTTCGGTAACATGATTTAATGCTTTTTGAAACACATCAAGGAGTAAGGTTTGTTCCTAATGAAATCAGCTTACGATTAAAGTTGTCCCTAGATATAGAGCCACGAAGAAAAATTAATGGAAATAAATTTGCACAGAAAACCCGACTGATCCCTCTAACTATTTCATATTCATGATTTTTGAGGGGTCGTTTAATAAATTATTAGGGTTAGCTCTAAGCCTGAGAATGTTACGTTATCTGGAATTATTGCGATGGTAATTATTTCTAGTAAACCTTTGTACAGTTTAAGAGTATGATGCGTCAAAATGGAATTTTAAAAATCAGACGAAAAACATAGGTTTAAGCGTTGCTCAGGTTATATATTTATCCAACTTTGAATTGTTTTCCTTCAATTCACCAATTTATAACTTTGTTCAGGCACTGTGCTGTTCATTTCAGGCCAACTCCATTTGGCCTATTTTTGTTTTTTCTAGGGCATATTATCAATGTTTATGGTTAGTTCCTTTGATTTTTGAGAAAACGCTACCCTCCTGAAGTAACCCAACCCTCCCTCCCCGCATCAGTATCATCCATCAAACGAAGCGACTTATAAGGATTGAAATCGTGCTTTAATGTAAGACTCATCTGTCTTTCAGCTCACACATTTTTCAATCTTGTTTCGTCAATGATAAAAACATGAGTTACAGAGAAAATACGTCATTTAAACTTGCGCAATAGATTTCTGCTCATTTCTTTTTTTGCGTGATATAACCCGGGTGACAGGGGACAGAGTGAAAGTGCGTGTTGCTGCCGCAATATTCCAGTCGTCAGCCTATTGCTGAAATAAGAGTACTGTGTATTGTAATAACTATATGTAGATTTTTCCAGTAATTTTGGATGATTATTATGCTTTCACTGGAATCGTTCAACTTCAAAGTGAAATAAGTTACGTCAACAACTGGTGTCATGCAATAGTTTGAAGGTCAAATCGGCTAAATTCTTTCAGTTTTGCAGAATGAAGTATGACGATCGGTCAACAATATTTCGTTAAAGTCTCCTGTATTTTTCTCATACTTTATAACAATTATAATTGATACGGCATGTGCCAATTGAATGTGTGAATGATAGAGAAATATGCAACTATTCAGTCAGAACTGTTTTCTTAGTTTACGTTTGTGACATCAATTCGACCATGAGACTGTCGGTCTGTGTTTCTGGGATATGTTACATTTCTTTTCTCATAGTGTTTGTCATCGCTGGCTCTCAGTCAGGTGATGAATAAATCGCAATTTTTACTATTTGTAAGAAATGTGTTGACAAAACTTAAATAATTACCTATTAAGCTATGAATTTTCCACGTAAGTAAAAAATTCTATCATTGTCTAAGGTTTTCTTTGAGAAAGCCTTCCAAATATTTTATTTGAATATCCCACTAAATTGCATATGCTGAGCATTTTTCGTTTTGTTGTTGTTGTTGTTGTTGTTTTTATTATGAAAAGTGGGTCAATTGGGCTTTGAAGGAAATCAGCCTTGATGGTTTTAAGTAACCCGCCATGCAATAAATGTTCAAATGCCAAAGCTCTAACTTTCAATAAGAAGAGTCAGTTCTATCACCTCCGTTCTTGATGTGCTCTTTCGTTGACATTAAAAAAGTACCCTGAATCCTTGTCCAAAAGTAGCCTTCAATTGCGTTTTCTAGTATAGTAAAGAATCCATTGGTCGTATTCAAGATTTTTTTAAAGAGAAATTAAAGCTAAAATTCCAGAAAAAACTAATTTAAAGTTTTGCTTGACCGGATGATACATTTTAACCAGGGGCGATAAAGAGTTGGCTCTAAAAAGGATATCGCACCTTAGACAACGGATAACGCCATATACTGCCACATTGGTCGATATCATTCAGAAAGTATGGTTATGGCGAGACAGCCAGCGCGAGATTTTTTCATGACGTAGGAGCGGACATCAACCACCATAAACTGGAATCACGGCATGGCGTAGATACTACTTCATGCCGTACATGATCCAACTTTGCAACAGCTCTCATTGTATAATGTAAGCTTGACTGCAGTAACGTCGAAATACCTACTCCGCTCCCATTCGCTCTTTGTATTTTCATTATGGGCTGCCACGGTACTTACTATCTATGGTTTCTTAAATATAAAATTTACAGTCGCATCAATTTTTAAGTATCTTTTGAATAGCTAACTTGTACAATCATCGATAATGCCATGAACGTGATGCACAATCGTGGTGAAATTACTTCAAACGTAAAAATCTGGACCCGTTCGCTCTCTTTTACGTTAATTTTGGATGTTTATGATTTTCAATTATACAGATATTAGATGATACAGCTTGTCCAAATCTGTATTTCTGCAACTAACAAAATATAAAACAATTTTTTTACTAAAATTAACAATGAACCAAAAGCCTTCCTCAATTAATCTCATTACGTGTGATTATCACTCCGCTAAAAATGCGATTTGTGAAGAGTTTAGAAAACTTGGCTAGAGTTTGGCAGAAAACTTGGTAATCTGTAGTTTCCTTGCAGGTAGAGATCCAGGCATCCAAAATGTCTCCTCACCTAAAAAATCTACACCATCATGGCAACGTAAGAAATNAATATTCTATATTTTTATTTTAAATGGCTTGTCTCAGGGGCCGAATTTTGTCGGTCCTTCCACCGTACTTAAACATACTTAGGATGGGCCTCGACTGCACTGAAGTCCGGCTTAGCGCTTCTGATTGGCCGGTGGTGCGGTTTGAACTCATCGATAGCTGTTGCACTCCGTGTGAAAAAGCCGACAAAATTCGGCCCTAGGATTTTAAATACTTTGAAGCAATATCTCTATTGCACGCAAGAGATTCAGCCGTACGAATAGTCTTTTCACTGGTAAAATTGCACTAAAATCACAAAAGTAAAATTAAAAAGTCTGAAATTTACTCGTTAAAGCGCAAGTTGCGTAGTCTAGGGCCGGGTTTAGGGGGTGGCCACATGGGCCGCGGCCCATGGCGGCAAATTTAAGGAGGCGGCAAATTTGGCAATTTTTTTTAAATGTAGCTGTATAAAAAAAACTGGACTCAGAAAAAAAATCACAAACGAGCAAAGGCGACAAAATCTCTCATTTCCTGAGAGTGAAATATTTTCTAATTTTGTCGTCTTTTGGTGATACGAGAAACCGAACTTTTAATTAGGCGAGTTAAGAGAGAAACCAAACATGCAATTCGGCCTGGAGCGGCGCGGCGCAGAGAGCAATGATGACGAGGACTTGAGATGAAAAGGAGAAACCCTTGGCGCGGCGGTAGGCATGTAACACATATTAGCGCCTACACGACTGCATGAATACTTCACGCATCGCGTCAAAAACAGTGCGTTCAGCAGCGGTCGGCGTGAAACGCATAGCGCTTACAAGACTGTAGGCATACTTCACGCATTGCGCCAAACACAGCACGGTCAACGCGGCGCGGTGGCGGACGTTAAAGTTATAAAACCATATTTATGTTTGTCCTTACATAATTTTGTCATTTATTTCTTTTAAATGGATGGCTTTGTACACACAGAGATAGGTTTATGGAACTTAACTTTTGCGCAAAGCTCCGTGAAATTTTGCTAGTAGTGTTGACAGGGCTTTCGCAAAAAATGTGTCCAACACGAGTAAACGCGTCTTATAAACCCCTCCCCTCCGGCACGTTTACTCAATGGCTTTCATAGATGTTTCAAAATGAATGGAAAGGGGGCGGCAAAATACAGGCAGCCCATGGGCGGCAAGGAGGTAAATCCGGTTGTGGCGTAGTTAGGAAGGCACTTTTTCATTCTATCCGTGTTGGAGAGGGGGTGGGAGAGATCAGGCACTTAATCTGTAAAAAAGCTACGGCAACTTACAGTTGACGAAAACTGGCAATTTTAAACATAATATTTAATAACATAACCTGAACAACGATGAAAAGGAGAGAGATACAAAGATCACATTTCGCTTGTAAATATCACAAATGAACAACAACAACAACAAATCGGTAATTACCAGCAACCACCTAAGCCTAAAGTTGCAATTTATTCGTTTCTGGCGACTGAAATACTGGCCCCAGACGCGGGAAATTTGAAGAAGCGTGTTCCAAAATACGTGATGGCACACTGAAGAGTGGATTTAAGACTTTCTAAGGTGATCATCGTATTTTGATTCCCATGCCATTCTACCATTAAAAAGTATATTCATGGCTGCATCTCTTACGTGCAACTGACCCATTATTTGCTTTAAATCTATTCCTTAATATTTTTTATTATCATAAACTAAACTGTGTAAGTCTTTATTATAGCGGTTCCAAAAATGATTACAAAACACAATAAGTCTTGTGCAGGAATCCGTCTTCTTGAGTAAGGAAAGTTCAACATTTGACTTCAGGATTATTTAAGAATTTTTGCATGACATCCCGCTGTTGATTCTGACTTCTCGCAGAAGTTTGCGGAATTAAGATTTGTTCCGGGGAAAAAATTGGTAAAAATGATCGTCAAACGTTTCAAATGGGAATGGATCGATACCTCCCTGCAAAAGTCAACACCTACTTTGCTCTGTAGTGACGCAAAGCCACGTTGGAATCAGTTCTCATATTAGAGCATTAAAAAAAAGATGGGAAAAAATGACATTTACAGAATCGTGTGCAGCCGACGCTAGTAACAGTCGAGGTTTTTTTCTCTGACCCACATGTTGCCAAAGTGTTCACGCAATCAGAGCAATTTTTGGTTTTTTATGCATATTAAGCGCTCAGCTGATAGAGAGCACTTTTGGATTTCAACCTGCCTATAGAATTCTAGTATACTAGTGGCAATGCGTTCAAATGGCGTACTATTTTAACAACAAGATGGCGGATAAGGGCCTCACATATTAATAATAGATTAATCTGTTATAGCTTTATTTCATGCTTCTAATATCGAAGAGCGGAGAACGATACCCGTTTTTCATTTTTTTAACGGTAGCGTACTTTTATCATACTTAATTAATAGTTGAAATTTTGGTGAGGTGAAAGTGAATTCTTTTACTCAACGTTGCTCGTTTCCTTCGGGCACTTAAAAACACGCCTACATAGAAAATAGCTGAGCGCTTCTCTAATACGGACATATTAAAGTTCTTCCGTTTGTCTTTACTTGTTTTGTTTTTTTAAATTGTAGCTGTGAATGGAGCCATGTAAATCCACCATACCTAGCGCTAAAACAAATTTTGTTTTTATTTTAGGTTTGAATTCTAAACAACCACTTGAGCTTATTAAACAGGGTTCAATGAAAGCGGGAACTCTAGCAAGGAAGTTTTCTAGAGGTATGGTTATTCCTTCGCTAAATCGAATAATGATTACTTGACTTTTGAGAACCTATCAGGGAGAGGTTGTTCAATTTGCCATTGGAATTTGGCCCAGAATGAAATCTCATATTTTCATGTTTTGATGAGCATGGCTTGGGACGCCTAAATATGGCCGAATTTTTTTCCTTGTTTGGAAAATTCAGTGAAACTGCAAAAACAAGCATCTCGCTCTGCGACGGTGCAGACCTGCTGCCATATTTAATTTTCTAAATTTAAAAATAATTTGCGTCACTTGTTGAAAACTTTCCTAATTTTTACACTCATGAAGAAAAAAAAAATCTGTAAAAATTTCAGGCAGTAAGGTTGGCTCGTCCTTTTCTGATGAATGAAAATGGGATAGGAGATTTCGAAACTTCGCATACGAAAGTCGCGTTTTTGCAGATTCACCGCATGAAATTGTACAAACATAACATGTTATAAGCAGAAAAACGGACTTACGATTTGAGGAGTTTACTAGAACTTAAGTTTTGTTGTGGAATATTGCTATAAAATTAAGTAAAACAACGATTCTTCGCGAAAACGTTTTTTAAATTAAGTATGGGGCAACAATCTGATCATTATTATTCTCTATTGTAATTTCAGTTGCCAGTGGAGTTTTAAGAATGAACCCTGAATATCCTACCTTCAAGGAACTGGATGCAAAATTGCGTAAATATTCAAGTAAGTATGCCGTATGCGAGTGATTGTTTCAAATAGAAAAATTTAACTTTCAATTTTAAATAAAACTAGCAATCTATGAAATGCAATATTGCCAATATTCAAAGTTTGATAGACTATAAGCATGAAAATGCACGGGGAAAGAGACTTCATGCAAGGAGGTAAAAGCTTCAAACTTTATTCATACTTTTGCATATATGACATACATTTAACAGTGTTCTTTGGTTATACTAGTTTTCTTAGCCGAAACCTTATGTTAACAGTTTACATTTTAAATTTTTACAAGAGCGCTGTTTGAGTGTAATTTTCAAGTTGAATCTTCATATTTTGCTAAAAGGTGCCGCAGACAAGGAGGCAGCGCTCCAGGATGTGATCTCTACGGGTTCCTTGCTGTATTACAAGGAGAAAAACAAATCTACCCCTACTCAGACGGGAGATCTCGAGTACTTGTCGGACGATCTCATCTCTCTTGTCAGAGGATCTCATTCAGAATTCACGACGCCAGAAACGTCCAAAAGAAAAGCTATTCGTAAGTTCATGAATTGTTTCGATGTTTGGATACGTCCCACTGTTCACGGAAAAAACTATTTAGTGCTGAGCACAACTGTTTAGATCAAATGGAGCCAGCTAATATGACATAACTGCTGAGACCTACAGTCTGGACCCTAAAGTTTTAGGGCTCAGCGCTACTGCCATATTATCTGGCTCCATTTGAACTTAACAGTCAATGTTCAGCACAACATCGTTTTTTCCATGTTCTTTTGATAAAATCATACTCGTATTACCTAAATTACTTGGATTTGTGAAGCCGCCATTTGACTTGAGGGAAAGGGGGAAAAACTTTGATGTGTCTAACTTTCCATGGATATCGGCGTATATACTACTCAAATAAATAAGAGTAATCTGGGGCGATCCTCTTAAAATCAGAAGTTTGATTTCTCATGGAGACTAAGAGCCTGTCCAAAAAGTGCCCCTCTTTGGGAAAACTCAGAGATATTTTTCAAATGTGGTCTAAAGAGCGCATTATGATGAGACAATCTTCCAGTGAAAGTTTCAGCTCGCGCTCGTTTCAGCAATGCTCGCTCTGGCAATTTAGCGCTGCAAAGTTAACGTTTTTTACCATTGAAAAAGTGTGAATATTATTAAGTTTCTTGGTTGAAAAAAACAACTCAAGTTAATCCCGATTTATTTCTGTGGCATAATAACATAATCTGACAGGGAAATGAAAAATGATCAACTAATTTTTACGTAATTTAAGCACGGCCTCTACGCAGTTCGAGTCAATTTTATCGAGAATAATGGACTACTAGACAAGGTACGAATTTAAGCATTCTGATACATGTTTCTTAACCAGAATTTCACGTAGAACACAATTCGCGCAACGAAAATTACTGAAACCATCTCCTAACGGAGATATTAACATTTTTATTTCACATTGGTTACGAGGAATTTCAACTGCCCGCTCACAAGAAACTCAAAGCTCTACGTGAGTCAAATCGCGCACTACAACGGTTTCAGCAAGCTTCTCAATCGAGCAATGTTCATTTCCCACCATGTGTTTTTCAAACCATAAGTAATTTGCTATAGCTAAGCCAAAGTGTCAAGATTGAGGTTGCCAGATTTTTATATCGCAGAGACTGTCATGATAACGTTTAGCGCGCGATGTGAATCACGTAGAGCATTGAGTTTTCATGAGTGGGTGGTTTCAATTCAAGCACCAAGAATCATTAAATATCTTTGAAAGGAGTTAATTTCGGTAATTTTCGTTGTGCGCGTCGTATTCTACGTGAAATTTTAGTCAAGAAACATGTATCAGAATGCTGAAAGTCGTACCTTGTCTAGCGGTCCATTACCAAATATATCCGTCCCTCCTACTCATTTCCTCCTACTCCTTCCATCCGTTCCTTCCTTTTTTGGCGCGTATACGTAGTATACCGCCTTTGCGATCGTTTCGACCCCCCCCTCGATACAATAACCGAGTCCCCTAGTTCCTTACCGAAAAGTGACTACCGCGAACTTCTGAGATTTTCCAAAGCGTGTAAAAAGTTTACTAATCCGTCAATAATAATGATTAAAATTTGTTTCTCATTCTGGGGCTCGCTAGTTTATGTGTAATGAATACCAAGAGTCTACGTTTCTTGGTTTTTTTTAAAAAAACCTTAGAATGGGGCGCGCTGATTTAAAATATGCATATATAAGCGGAAGCAAGCGAACTGATTCGAGGATGGCTGACCAGTTCGGCACTCCTTGAATGAGAATTTCACTCACTCCGTTTTGTTCACAACGTTGCTTTGACATATCTCCACAACACTGTTATCCTTTTCAAAAGTTGGTACTCCTTGCTCTGATAGCCGGGGCCACCAGGATAGTGGTAAGTGCAATCTGTGATGAGCCTCGAGACTCATTAGACCATTTGCTAAACGTGGCTCATACAGGAGTCCACTAAGCCCTCTCGTCCCCACGCTCCTGATCACTGCGTCGGCGTCACGAAGAACAATGGGCCTTGGGTCCCAACGCGGCCGATACCCGTACCCCAATTACTCACGCTTCATTAACCATTTCACCGTCACGCTAGGATTCATCCAATTTTCAAAAAAAATTGTTTCGCATGTATTTAGCAATTTTTTCCTTACTCTCCGTTAAAACACAAATAAAAAGAGACCTCATTCATAAAAATCGGCCGAATAGAAGAGAAGTTACAGTAATCGAAATCCGAAGAAATCAACAAAACCTCGACTCCTCGATACGAAAAATAAAATGAAGGGGAAAAAAAGAAAGTATAAATTACAATTAAATATAATTGACCTCAAAATTTGACAAACAATTCATTTATATACCTAACGCTGAAAAAACTGGGAGAAATTACAAAAAATTTGCCTCTTGCAAGGGGCTTCTTTGTAAGAATTTTGACCTGAAGACAACGGTCGAATAACAGCAGTACTCCATACAATACACGGTGTGCCTGAACGAGTTAAACATTTTTCATACGTCCAAATCGAAAAATCTTTATATTTTTAACTACAATGTTTCTTGAATCGTTTAAGCAAAAAAAAAAAAAAAAAAAATTCCGTCGAGATTCTGGAACGCAAAGGCGCTTTAAAAGTATTCTGGGGCTATAATAGCTAAATCACCGGTAGTAAATTCGTTATATTATTAAAAAGAAATTGACTCCATAGTTTAATTCCTTAGTTTCTTGAATACGATTATTTTAAGCACTTAAACATTTATACCACCAATTTTAGCCATGGGGTGATTTCCTGAGAGCCGATAATATCACGAATTTCTCATAGAACCCCTCAACAGTGGCTTGCTTTTTTGGCAGCCGATTCGGCCATCGAACCGGAGTTTAAATGGAAGCTGATAATAACCCAAAGCTCTGAGAAAAATTTTGAGATGAGTATAAGAACGGTTTGTTGTAAGTAGCGAGGAGAGGCGGGCAAAGCGGCTAAAATCCTATCTAATTTTTACAGTTTTTCTGTTGAATTAATGTTGCCGCGGGCTTCTGACTGTCCACACATAGTTCTGTTCAGCATATCGATACATAAGTATTTACATTTTACATACGTAGAATCTAATTTTCACGTCGGGGAGTTGACATATTTTGATTTTTTCGATTTTATACGGAAAATTGATGGTTTTTCGGGATTGAAATTATTATTGTTTCATGAAAAATAAATGCACCCAAAATGACTATAGCATATTGATTCTTACACATTTGCACTCACAAAATTGGTTGGTAAATTCAACGAGTGGGTGCATCGACCTGGTATATCAAGTTTCTGCAATTTTTTACGGCAAATCAGTAGATTTTCGGGATGTAGATTGCTTACTTTCAATTCATGAATGAATAAAGCAACGACATGGTTGAACTTCTTTGCATGGAAAGACGTTTAAAATAACAAAATCAAGACGTATTTAATGCAATTGCATTTATATCGAGTCAATTTCTTTTCAATAATATAACGGGATTTTTACTACCGGTGATTTGGGTATTTTAGCCCCAAAATACCTTTAAATCGACTTTATCTTCTAGGAGTTCGACAGAATTTTTCCTTTCTTCGCTTAAATTATTCCGTAGCACTTTTCTTCAAGAATCTGATAAGATTTTGCTTGAGGCAGATCAAAAAACTTAAATTCGATCGAATAGCTTTCTACTTTCACAATACACGGTCTCGTCAAGGTGCGTCTTTGACCTCGCAGTGTTGGATCGTGAATTCTCTTTTTATGCTGTTTGCCTATTTTGAAATCTCTGTAAATGAAAACTAAAGGGGTTGATATGTGCGAGTTAATGACGCGCCTTATCAATACATTGTGTTGGAGTTCACTGCTTGTTTCTCCTTTCCTCCCTTTTTTTCGGGGGGAGGGGGGCGTGCGTACGCCCTTTACGCCCCTTAGATCCGCTCATGCATCAGTACATATTTTATTTGTGATGTCCAGGAGGGAGAAGCAGTTGCAACAAGCACTGTTTCGGTATCTATGGTGATATCTACCGCTCAACCCACGAAATGGACCCACAAGCACCACCATTCGTCGAGGGCGTTCTCATCCCTATCACGCGGGGTTGGGATCTTCCACGGGCCGGCAGCGGGAGGTGGGATATCGTCCGGCGAAAATTCCTCACGCGACAACCCCTCCGCCTCCAGTGCCGTTGCACCATCTCCGATGAGTTTCGCGACCTCCTCACTGCCAACGGAGAGAACCCCGAAGAGTTTGAAAGGCTCATTAATAGGTCAAGAAACGATGCTCTCCAGTTTGTAGAACAAGCCGTGGCCCGGATCAACCAGAAGGGGGTGATTTTCCTCCTGCGTCTGGATCATGAAACGCTGACGCAACTTTTTTCTGTAGAATAAGGCCTCAGGCGGTCTCAGAAAAAAGTCCAAATAGGGTATAACCAGGCGGAAACTAAGTGGAAAAGAATCCGTCATGTGGGTGCATCAGAAGTTCGTTGCTGACCCACCTGTATTGTAACATCGTTCCCAATAGTATTAGAATAATTTTGTTTCTGTGCTTCATTCTGTGTTGTTTTAATTAATTCCATTTTTCTAAAACGGTTCTTATTTCATTTTCCTGTAGTGCTCGGACCGCATTTAACAGAAAGTCATATCAGCTATTGCCAATTTTTTTTTTATTTAATTTTTTATGGAAGAGCTGTAACGTGCGGCAAACTCCCTGAAATTGTCAAAACAATCCATACAATCGAAATCTTGCGAAGAAAACCTATAAATTCGATAACATTTGGCGATAACTGATGTCACTTGGTACATTTTTGCTTTACGCAGTCCAATAATTTACGTTCTTGATCCGCACTTCTTGTTGATTTGTGCCTCTTATCGTCCAAGAGACATTAAGGCAAATGAGACATTACGATGATGCATGAGTGATTCATTTGAAGAAAGTTATGGTACCATTTGTAATCACATGTAGTTCTTCGATTTATACTAACATTATAGCAAACTTGGTTAAAAATTATAATATCGATCGTTTATTTGTGAGTCTAATCACTTTGATATTTTTATTGTTATTGTTATTTTTTACCTAGTATTATCACTTCAGTACCCAATCGTCGTAAGAATAAATCCAACTCAAAATTCTGCTTGAACTGACTGCCTTACGGAACAGAATATTCTTGAAAAGGCTTTTGAAACTTGAGAGCTTTTTTTGAGCATGGGAGTTGATTTAAGAGAGAACCAGTGGCACCATCGTGTTTCTCGCGAACTTCTAAAAAAGAATCAACAGTTAAATCGCAAATTCCTCACATATGCAACATCTCCATTTGGCAAAATCAATATGTTTTATATGTTTAAACTTAGAAACCAAAATAATCTTCGATGTTAATTTTAGATGACTAAGGTTCAAACATATAAGTAAATAACAGTATAAAAACTTTTAACTCCTTATCAGTATTGAGATCAAATCAATCCAGGCGACAATCAAAGCAATTCATCAGTCTTTATGTTTTGCACTACTCTTCGGTCGTTAAAAGTGAGTGATTTTGAGGCTTGATTATTATTGATGAGGTATATTTTCTCTTTCCAACTTCTTATCTCCGTGATTTTGCATTAAAAAATCGGGATGCGACTTTTTTGCCTTATAATTTTTGACAATAATTTGATATTAATGATTTGGAAACTGAAATGTTTAATTTAGATGCGAGAGAGCTAGGCGAAGTTAAAATTTCGTTTCAGGACTTTTGCAAAAATACATGTCTACATATTTCCAATAAAATTCCTCAATATACCCATACACGCCAAAGGCCATTCACGCGGGATGCCTCGGCAATAGCCTTGTCATTTAACAACAATGAACATAATTGAATAAGTACATGTGCTTGCTTTTTTTTATGTCAAGATTTGCCAAACCTATCTTTTTGTTTTGAAAATGGATTATTCACCAAGAGAATATTCTCTGTAGAGATGAGATAATAATACTATATTTTGAGAAAAATGAAATGTGTCAAGTGCTTTCATCGGGAAAACAAATTTCAAGTTTCTAAAAATGTTCCAAAAATCTGAGTTGTGGATTATCAATGTATTGCTGTGCATATCACTGTCTGAGAGGGTTATGACAGACCTGACACCAGAAGAAGAGGAAGCGCTTATTGAGGCTCGAGAGGATGACGAGGTTGGTAGTAGTCTAAATACAAAGTAAATATTTCCTGAACTAAGCATAACCTAAAAATTAACTATTCTTTCAGAGTTTTTAAAATTCGCACTTTGCCGCCATAAGCGCGGCCGGAAAAAAAATTCTGAAAGGGGTGGGTAAGGGCCGATTTTCCTCTCAAGGAGGTCCACTGGTTTTAAGCGAGGAATATCTCAACGTGCTTGGGGAGGGCCGCAGCCTTCTGAGGGACGGGGTACGGGCCCCATACGAGACCCCTTTTAGCTACACCTAAGGTTGCCATTAGACTGGTTTTGCGAAGTAGTAATTGTTTTGGTAGCTAACTTCATCCAAAATACTTGAAGCTTATACTTAAATGTTCTCCAAAATCCTTTTTTTCCTCCATAAAATTCATGACTTCAACACGAAGCTTCTTTTTTCAAGCCTCTCAAATGCCTAAGTATTTAAAGCTGCAATACCATTAGAGGCCGTCCCTAAATTACGTAACGAACTTTTTCCGCATTTTTGACCCCCCCCCACCCTTGTGTCACTTTTGTGACGTAGGTCATTATCCTTCAACAGTAAAAATAAAATCTAGCGTAACGCTTTTCTCAACCCCCCTCTCCCCTAGAGTGTTACGTAATTTAGTAACGGCCCCTTTCGTTTTATATTCTGCTTCTCTGATTAGGAGTATAGGATTTAAGCATTTTAAGCTTTACGACTGTAAGATTTTGACAAGCACTCTTTTGGGTTGTAGTTGATGAAGATAATTGTGATCGAAATGATTAGAGATAACGATAACTGTCGAGACTACTGGCCATGGTCACTCCAAAACGATGGGGTTTACGGCCCAACGGAAGTACATTGTAACCACGCCTGCAATCTCATTTCCGACTTGTACTTGATGAATGGAGGCGGAGACAATAAGACTCGAATCACCGATGGCGGCCGCTGCAAGAACAGCTGGACAATTTTCAAGCGCTGCATGTGCCGACTCAAGGATCACACCATGCCCAAGTACAGGTGGAGGACCCTCCATTTCATCACTAAACGGTAAATGCGTCAAACTATAAGTATCATGACTCAAAAAGGAATGTAACATTCGAATGGTATTTAGTGAGAGTAAACCATGTGACGTGGACTTAAAGAGGAGGAAAATTGGTTTAAAAATTTGTCCTCCTATCAGCCGTGCCGGAGACACCAAACTTCAAGTCAAATTTTTGCATGGCTTCGACTTTTGGTGGATTTTAAATTTCAGGCAGGAGAAATTATCGACGGTGTAAGTCAGCAATCACATAACGCGGTTTGCGACGTCGCAGACTTCCTGTCCTACTTTATTTTTTAAATGGAAAACTACGCATAACGTCAATTCTTTAAAACTGCCGTGATGTTTCTTCTCTGCGCGAGGAAAATTCTGCATAAACTTCAAGGAATAGTGCCAATGTGTTCTCTTTTAAAAAGATAATATAGAGGCGGAGATTTTCAGACACCGGAAACGCGAGATGTGTGATTGCGGACTTACACCGTCGATATGCTTACCAGACAAGCGTAAGCCTATCGTTGACTCATAAGTCTCTAAACGAAATTTGGTTTGGTCACCTTGCGCTATTTACTGCCCATTTGATGATATCGATAATTTTTAAGATGCAAAGTATCGAAAAACTTTTTTTGATAGTGTGCGAATTATTTCCCTATTCAATTCGCCCTCCTTGGTAGCAAATTGAAATTGCTCATGAGATTCTTACGAACTTTCCATCATTGCAGTATTTCACTCTTCTTACAAAAGTGAGTAAATGGTGCCATAATTCGTGAGTTACTTTCGGAGCTTTATCACTTCATTCATCCATAATAGTATATAGACTAGTTTTTGGCACGAATGGTTGTAAAAAATGAAAAAGAATGCGAAAGTAGTACAATTTATGTAATTATTGTTTGTCACATAGGTACCTCGGGCCAGTTATGGTGAAATACCTGAATCATACAACTTATATGCCGCCGGTCATCACAATACCTGATCCAAATTTCACGAAAGACTATCTCTACCGAGAAAGCACGGATCCCTGGAAAGACTTTTGGCATTGATAGGTGGAAGAGGAAAGGTTGGTTCGAAGTCGTAATCGTAGATAGAGGTCAATTTCCTCAGATTCTCTAGTGTGCACCCTCAAACCCCTATTCCAAATTGGAAATACTAAAATCCCCCAATAAAAAAATGGGGGCCAGGTCATTCCCGAAAAATTGCTCCGGATAAACCCACACTAGAAAAAAACACATTGGATCTAGAGTCCAGCCTCTTGAAAACATTGACAAGAAAAAATACTCTTGATTCAATCAGATTTAAGCTTAAATCAAAAGGAAATCCGCTCAAATTAAGAGACTGGGTTCTTGATTTACGCTTAAATCTGGTTGAATCATGAGTATTTTTTCTTGTCGATGTTTTTAAGAGTCTGGACCATAGATCCAATGTTTTTTTTTTTCCAGTGCACGTGGATGGCACCAATGACCGTGTTTTTAGAAGATCTTAATGAAGACAAAAATTTGGTACTTTGGCAGCCTTATCATTTTTCCATTCAAAAGACACATTTCTTACTCACGAATACAGACTACACTATGGTGAGCCTGAGGGAGGCAGTTATTACACTAGGTTTGCCGACAGGTTCAACTAGTGGCCCGAGATGAAAGCGAGAGTTGAAAATTCGGCCCGGCTCGTGCGTTCATGGGGGCCGCTCAAAAACTGAGTAGGAGGAAAAGAGTGAAATTAAAGAAAAGCCTCTGGATGAGACGAGGCCAGGGCGGGGGACGGGGGGAATTAGCGTGCGCCGTGCATGGCGCAAGTGTGAGTGAGTGACTGCATAAATCTGGGCCAAAACAATGAGTGTGACTAACTTTCTTACGCGGGAAACCAATCAATTACATTCCTATTTCGACTCGAGTTTCGCTTATCCGCCGGGATGCGCCGCGGGCCGCGCCGCCAACGCGCTCGGATGGGGCCTCTCTTGCCCCCTCCATGGTTGTACACAAAAAGATCGTTTTTTGTTTGTTTGGTATCTATTGGATCACTAAAAACCCGTTTATTTCGAAATTTGACAACGCCGTTGCCATTACGATGCTTGAAGCCTTAAAAAGTTGCATTAGACGTAAGTTGTGACAAAATGACCTTATATTTGCATTGTAAATCCATTTTAGAAAATGACACTCAAACACAACACAAAACCATAGATTTTGCATTCAATCATTGTAATGAGACATGTCTTGGTCAAATTCATGGAAATCACCCGAAATTACCTTTTCGGATGACATTTGCGAGTAATGTAGTTTCCTGTGTCCAGGACTGTAGGTATCTTTGTCATGACTTTGTCGTTTTAACACAAATTTATGTTTGAAAAGCTTGAAATAATTCGGATGGACTGGCAGATTTTTTAATGCTTACAAAGATTTGAAAGTCTTATCAGAACCGCGTGGTGACTTAAGAGTAAATAGTGTAGTCAAGTTTTTTTTTTAAGCTCGCAGAAAAATTCAATTTTTTTTTAAACAAAGAAAATGTCTCTAAAAAATATGTTTTTACAGGTTTTATGTGTATCAAAAGTCTTCCTTACGTTTCAAATAGTCTGTAAATGCTTGAGTTGTTTGCTTAATAAAAGTAAAAGTGTTTTGAACAGTGTGGGAAAAGAACACTTAAGCGTCTTTTCCAAGTCACCCCTTTTTGTCTAGCGGTTTTAAACGAGTTCCACGAGTGTTTGCTGATTGAGAATTTGAGCTTGAAAGGTAACGTTGACGGCAGGTATGAGCCGTTTTTACTTAGACCGAGTTAGTAGTGGTGGATCGACATGTCCGGGCGCGCGCTCATAGACAGCCTAGCCACGTAACAGCAGCGTCGAAAATGCTGCATCACGGAGGCAGCCCCGAATTTTCATCGGATTCGCTGCTCCAATTCGGGGAGACCCCACATCCTTCACTTTCTATCCGCGATGGCACGGTGTCGTGTCAGACTCAGATTCGGGATTACTCGTCACAATCCGCGATTCAATACGCACCGGGTGAGGTGTCGCCCCCGTCGCGCAGTCTGCTCTGGGTGACGGTAAACCACAAAACTCCTCGTCCGTGACGTTACCCACCACCGTTCGTGACCTACCGTCGAAATCGAACGCGCGCCCAGGACTGTCGGCAGTGTGTTAGCTCTGTGTAGAAAAAATCAATCATGCGATGAAAAAAAAGGAAAAAAAAACTGAAACACGAGGGTGAAATTATTGAGGATGATCTTCTTTTAAGAGAACACTATTTGAGCTTGAGGGTTGAAAATAACGACAGGGCTGGATTGAGGGGGTGGCCACAAGGGCCGAGGCCCATGGCGGCAAATCTATAGGGGACGGCACATTTTGAAATTTTTTTATATGTAGGCATAGAAAATTAGAATTTAGAAAAAAAAATTACAAACGAGAAAAGGCGAAAAAATCTCTAATTTTCTGAGAGTATAGTAATTTCTACTTTTGTCGTCTTTCAGTGATACAAGAGACAGCACCTATAATTAGTCGAGTTAAGAGAGAAACCAAACACGCAATTTGGCCTGGAACGGCGCGACTTAGAAAGAAACGATGACGAGGACTGGAGATGAAAAGGAAAAGCCCTCGACGCGGCGGTCGGCATGTAACACATACTATTAGCCCCTACATGACTGCACAAATACTTCACGCATTGCGGGAAACAGTGCGATCAGCGTGAAACGCATAGCGCCTTCAAGACTGCGTGAATACTTCACGACTGGGGGGTCTTCTGGAAAAAAATTTATACAACAAAAAAGTCTTCCTTCGACCCATAGAACACACTCCTGCAGTCAGACCCGAAATCTAAACTCATTTGTATTCAAACACTAACAATAGTAAATTCTTCAATTTATTGCTCAATCAAGTACTTGACATAATGGTTGGAAAAGGCATTAAAATTTTTCTTTGGTGGATAGCACGCCTATAAATTGATCAATGCTTATCATAGAATCGTGCCTTCATGGTAGAAACGTAATGAACAAGACATTTTAAGTCACCAATTAACTCTCCACCACTTCCTCTTTAGCCACCACATTTCTGAATATAGTACCGACAGAAACATGGCATTCCATAAACACGGTTTTCGATTTTATCAACCGTGATAATGCGTATTATGCCTTTTTTTTTTTTTTTTTTTTTTTTTTTTTTTTTTCTTCTTCAGGAACATTCTCCATCTGACTGCGTATTATGCCTTGCTGCTGTTTCTTTCATTCCATCAGCAATGTGCGTAGAAAAATCAAAGTTCCATTTAAAACCGCAAGTAATAGTCTTGCTCTACGTAAACGATATCTCTATTAAGGTAGGTGAGGAGAGTAAGAGAATCGATCATGATAGAATTGGGGGATTATTTCCATATCAAAGACAGAAATTCTGAGTAATATCTTCATCTTTTAACGCTGCAATAAAAAGATTCAGGAAACGTACAAACTTCGGTTGTGCAGTTTTCATTACATCGGCAGTAGACCAGGACTAGACAGAATCGCTCGCCTGGAATTTTCACCAGTTCTAAGGCCAGCGAAATGCGGAAGTCTACCCTTGAGTGGTCATTCATTAGTGGCCAGTCGAGTTTTCACTTTCGTCGGCGGCGAAATGAAAATGACATCACGAATTGCAGGGGAAGCAACGGTCAACATTCGTTACGTTTTCCAGTGGCTAATGCTCTTGTGAAGAGTGATTAAGCGCATCAATGACATCATCAGATCTGCCGGTTTTCAATACGCATTCGGCTCCTAACTTCTGTTTCCGGTTGAGGTTTTTACTTTTTTTGTTAAGATGAATTCTCAAAGATTAAAATATATTGATTTGGTATGCGATGCATGTAATATTAAAACAAATTTTTTTTAGTGGAAAAAGATGAAGACGAAAAAAGCTGTGGTTAGATCTGACCTAAAATCATAGAAGCTCCCTCTTCGAACCGTCCTTATTGGGTCAAACTTGGATCTTTAAAATGCTGGGTAGTAATCGATATGGTCAGTGCAACTTCTAATCATTCGTAGGTTAATAAATTACCTGCTCCAAAAGACGTTAATTTAATGACTATGAGTGCGTTTGAAGCTCATCATTAATTTGATTACATTTTGCAATTCGGAACCAATTCCTAATTCAGTTTAGAAACAACGCACAAACCAACAACGTGTAAATTAAGAGTTGATGAAGAAATTTTGTTATATTTAAAAAATTTGTTCACTCCACAAAAGGAAGTGACGTTCTGGGATCAGTGTTGCTTCAATATCATGATTTAAGGAAAACACTTTCTGCTGAATTTTTTGTTTTTTTCGCTTCAAAATTTGTGTAAGAACTGTTGAATTAAAATGAAACTTATTTCCATCAATAGTTTTTTATTCATTTGAGCCCAACAACTTTCAAACCGGTGGCAAAAACTGCCAAAATGAATGGGGAAAAATTAAGACTTGAAATTTCAGGAGAGCAAAACAATGATAGGATACATATGTAACTTTCTTTTTTCCTTGATGAATTTCCCTCCAAAAGTGTTGAATTAACTCGTCATCTCTTTGCTCCTTGCAACTGCTGCATTGATTGTATCCATCATTCCACCTCTGAAACAGTAATAAACTTTTTTGAGTCTGAGATGATAAAAGGATAAAAAATACTTTTATCATCAGATGGTTGATTAAAATGCTTAAAATTATTCTCTATTCTCTGAATCTGTTGTGAACATTGTTGTTTTTGTATTGTTACTGAGAAAATTTTCTGCAGAATCTCCACCATAAATCTGACTAAATTTCGAGCTCTTCTTAACGAAACCTTTTAATACCATAGGTATACAATCATGCAAAGTGATGGAAAATTGTCAAATTGACAACAGTTACAAAAGTGGGGAGAACTTCAATTGTTAGAACATTACAAAATTCAGTTTTAGATTAATTATTTTTGGTTTGTTGCATATTCAAAACATTTGTTACAAATTAATTTTCTAAATGTTGAAACTGACACATTTTCAAAGTATATGTATACTTTATTTTAAGTGTGGCAGTTCGTATACTACAAAAAAAAAAAAAAAAAAAAAAAAAAAAAAAACAAAAAAAAACATATACACAAAGTGTTTTGCATCTATTTTCAGCTATTGCTCACAGTTCATTGACAGTATAAGAAGGATCAAAACAACTTCTGGTCCAATAATGTACGATAAATAAAGTTTCAACTTTTTTGTGAGCTTCTCGGCTGCATTTGCTGTTCCTTTTTGCCTTAAAAATGACAACTTACCGTACTCCAGCTTTTTCTAGAGCGTAGACAGCTGCGATAGTTGTTCCGCCAGGTGAGCAAACCTGGTCCTTCAACTGCCCTGGGTGTTTGTTCGTCTCGAGCACCATTTTGGAAGCACCAGCCATTGTTTGGGCAGCCAATTGGAGAGCCATATCACGAGGCATCCCGTTTTTCACTGCACCATCAGCCAGAGCCTCAATTATTATGAAAATCTTGAAAAGAAGAATTTACGTGTAATAAAATTAAAATGACGATCCATTTTGACATCCTTTCTGTTCGAATGAAAATAAACTCTCAAAAGGGTGCGTGCAACAAGGGTCCACTGATCCACTAAAGTAAGGTAGAAGAGGTAAAATAATAAAAAAAACTCTTACATATGCAGGTCCGCAACCAGCTAAAGCAGCAAAAGTTGGGGTCATGGACTCCGGAATTTCTGTGACAGTTCCATTTTTCGCCATAATTGCTTTCACAAGTGCAACATCCTCGGAGTCCTTTGCCAGTTGATGACAAATAGCTGTTTAAAGGAAAATAATTATAGGAGTAAAGGATCAATAGTAAAGTCTTCAAATTTTGATGAGAACAGAGAGATGGTCAATCTTGCAATGAAAAGCTGCATCAGCGTCTTGTACATACTGACTACGTACCTGACTGCACATACAATCGAACGGTTTGCGCATGTGCAAAGACTGTACATACAGTCGAACGGTTTGCGCATGTGCAAAGACTGTACATACAGTCGAACGGTTTGCGCATGTGCAAAGACTGTACAGTCGGCGGTGGGCCACTGCCGAATGTCCATTTAGCTCACAAGTGTCATTAATATTGTACAGTCCGACTGCTAGTGTGACAGCAGCTTTGTATACTCATATTACAGAAAAAAATACAGCACCACCTGAAAAATTCTAAAGAGGAGAAGAGGGAGAGGAATTGTGAAAAAAGTTGTACAAACCTGAGCAGCCAGCACCGACCATCAAAGGGGTATTAGGAATGACTCTTACTACCCGGTGACTTTTCCCAAAGGTTTCACCAATTTTCTGGAGAATAAAATTAATTAATTAAATAACGCTTTTTGGTATCAATGTGAGGGGCCAAAAAACCTGCAAGCACTGAGATGACAAAGCGAACGTCAATGCGACGCTGCGCGCAATGACGATGCTGAAACCAAAAAATCATTTAATTCCGATTGCAATGTAGTAAATTTTTTGTTGTACTCTAAATTTTATTTGCAAAACCAGGCAAGGCCATTTCTTGAAACCTTACTAAGTTTTATTTTCCTTGTGAATCATGTTCTAGGTATGATAGTTATTTTTGATGTTATTATAGGAATAATAAAATAAGAAATCTTGTCAGACAGACTGCGTTCTATTGAGCACTTCTATTTTATAAAAAAAAACAGTTGCTGAGTTTACATAACATGTGATGGGTCATATGGTGACAAATTAATAACTTCAATACCTTCCCCAATTTTACACCTTAAATTATACCTTCCCCAATTTGACACTCTTCACACATGCCAATCTCAACAATAAATCTCTTTAACAAGTTTTTCTTTAATGGTTTCGTCATTAAATCTGCAATATTTTCATTTGAAGAAACCTGCTGGATAGTTATTTGTTGTTCAGCAACTTCCTCTCTCACAAAGAAATATTTTATTGCCAAATGCTTGGTCTGCTTGTGGAACTCCGGATTTTGAGCTATGCCGGAATTACACGCTGAATTTGGCAGCTGAATATGGAAGTCAACAGTCATCGCTCAACAGCTAAAATTTCGCAAATTCTAGTTATTTTCATCCAAATGTGTATCAAATCTATTCGAATAGTTCAGACAAATCCGACTTTATCCGATGGTCGCTGAGAATCGTTGCTGAATTTTGCGGTTAGGCATCAGGCCGATGACTTCCACATTCAAGCCACATGCAGCTCCCACACTCAGCGTGTGATTGAGGTGCTAGTCTGATAGCTGCGGTGTTACCAATGTATAGAACAGGAAGCTGTGGTAGGTCGCTTATCTGTCCAAAAAGTCTTTTTAACCCAATAGATTTATTCGTTGCTCCTGATGCTGCAAAGATTCATCGTCAACAGTTGTCAAATGTACTTCCTGCTTTTGAAGTATATATTGTTCTGGGCAAGGTGGTTCTTAATTCGTCATGCTCTTAATTTGCTTTCATTTCTAAACCACACCCTTAAAAGATCACATTCTATATGTAGATGAGGGAACTTGAATTTAACAAGAAGGAATCATTACTTTTCTTTTTCGCTGACTTGGTTATGTTTATAATTTACATAAATGATAAACTAAACCTAAACTTTGGAGGCAATTTTCTCCAAAGGTAATTTTTGGACTATGAGCTTCTTGCACATACCTCCTCAATTGGGATTTGTGTTTTTCAAGTCTTGTTATCGATTACCTGTTCTAATGTGCTCACAGTAGTGCCCGCCATGATAGAGACAAAGAGTACTGATTTACTGGGAATTGCATTTACACCTTTTGAGTCCAGTAGAAACTGGTCAAACATTTGAGGCTTCATCGCTAAAAACACGACTTTAGCTTTGCTAAAAACAGGTGCTGCAGACAAAAATTCCATGTCGAAAGTAGAGATTAAAATATTTCTAATGAAAAAAATTACAATTTATTCAGAGTATTTTCATTTTACCTGTATTTTAAATGAATCATTTGTTCTCTTCTGACTGCAGTTTGATTTGGTACTGGAATTATCTTCTATTACATCTGCAAGACTGTTTTGATTTGATTCGTTTTACATTTCAGCAAGGCGACGAAAGTCTTATGTACATATTACAGGCATTTTGATGCCAATATTGTTGTGAGGTAGTGTATAAAGTTGCCTTGTTGCACTGTGCTGTTGTGAAGTTGCAATTACTTTCCTTGTTTCTTGCATATTTGGATTTACCCGTAAGTTGTTTAATAAATAAATTAATGAATATCCAACTTTTTTCAGATTTTTCGATAACTTATTCAGAGCTCCAAGGACTCAGTCTCAGGTAACTTTAATCTTGAAACCTATGATTTCAGTCTGAAAATTAATACTAAACAAATGTCTATCCGTTTCAATGGTTCAAATGCTACAAACATTATTTTTCTGCAGATAAAAATGGCCAGTAAAACATTGTCGAAATAGACAGTTTAACTCAGTCCTCGTCTTTTTTTTTTTTTTTTTTTTAGAAATACGTCCAATTCTCTTTATTTTTTTTTTTTTTTTTTTTTTTTTTTTTTTTTTATCTACTTCAAATAGCCCACAAGGGCTAATCCCACGCTTTAAGTCCCATCCCCCCTCCGTCCCTACTGAACCAGTCCCAGGCAACCATTGTTTGAGACCATCAAACTCGGGTCGCCTGGCCGGGAATCGAACCCGGGACCTCCCGATCATACAGCAAGCGCTACAACCACTACACCATAGGAGGCCGACCTGGCCTCCTATGGTCTCAACTGATGCCAGTAAAAGATTTAACTGATATCAATTAGAATAAGAGAATTAAGTGTTCAAATGGCATTTTGACACTGTTCTACTGTGTAATTTTATCAGGTCGGACGGTTTTTCATCGTACACTGCAGACGTATTCAACATGTACAGTTTTCTTTTTTCAGTTTTCTTGAAGTGATCACACCACAATGTTGAAAGAGCCTCCCAAAAAGTGGCCTCTTTTTTGAAACTCGGGGATTTCATTCGTATGCGGCTTAAATGAAACCTTACGATGAGACAAGCCTCCAGTAAAAATTTTAGCTTGAGTATACGTCTGGTTTCCAAGATACAGCGTTGCAAAGTTTGCATATTTAAGCTTTAAAAATTCGCATATTTTCAAATATCTTACTTTAAAAAACAACTCCATCAGATATAATCTGTTATTTTGTGACATTTTACCTACAGTCAGTCTTATCTTTAAATCTATATTCCTATTGATACGGTGATACTGCTGATTCTCTTGATAGAACGTTGCAAAGTTGACACCAAAGACCTATAAAAATTGCTCATTTTTGTAAGTTTCTGAATGAAGAAACGAACTTATTGATCACCAAAAGATCTGTGTATGGTGTTTAGATGTTACTTTATAATATGATAAGTCTTTTGTATAGGCCTTACCGCAAGCGTAAGTACAGATTTAATGATACAGCGTTGCTAAGTTTATACATTTGAGCTTTAAAAATGTTTATATTTCTAAGTCCCGCGTTTAAAAAGCTACTTTCGTGGATCTTCTTTAGAATTTGAAGCATGAAATCTACCAAATGTGTCATTTGTAGCTCTATGTTTGTATTTAAATAGGGATACTTTAATTGGTGGTGATACAGCGTTGCCAAGCTAACAACTTTAAACTCTCAAAATTATTATTTATGCTAGTTAAAGAGGACGTCAATGGGTGTCAGGCCTTATATCAAGGAAAACTGTCGAGGGCTGATGTCAGTTCCAAGTGACGATTGGTATTCGCAAAAATACTATTGCTAAGTTTATTAATACTTATTTTCAAACAAT